ATTAAAAAAAAAAAAAAAAAAGAAATCCTCTGTTGATTGCCCCAGAGCTGCTGCACGAGGAGGCTGGACAGGGATGAAGCCCAGCTCACTGCTCAGGGCCAGCTTTGCTTGGGAGCCGACACTGCTCAGGGAGCCTGGAAGAGTCCCGCCCTGCCAGGGATGGGCGGGCGGAGCTGGGAAGGGAGGGGGACACGAGGCCTGGGGACACGAAGCCTGGGGACACGAGGCCTGGGGCCCCGAGAAAGAGGGAGAGGTCACTGAAACAGGCCACTGGGCCCTCCCTGATGGAGACAGGGAAGGGGAGGTGATGAGGCCCCAGAGACAGGCAGAGCTGGAAGGCTTCCTGGAGGAGGGGTGCTTTGGCTGAGACTCGAGGGCCAGTGAGGAGGCTTCGTTCCCTCAGGCCAGTCCCACCCAAGTCTAGCACACCTGTGCCTCTGCCCACCAGGCTTAAGACCCGCCCTCCCACCCTGGCTTCTCCCCGATTCCTCTCAAGCCCCTCCACACAGTCGCCCCCCAGGCTGTTGTACAGCACAAACCTTTCTGGCGCTTCCCGTTGCCCTCGGGAGAAAGCCCAGCTCCTGGCTTGCCTTCCAGCCCTAGAGACCAGCCCTGCCGCCACCACCCCCGTCTTCCCCAGGAGGACCCAGCCAGGTGAGTGACAGCTGGATGAAGACTCAGGGACCACTCCAGGTGGGCTGGGAACTGCCAATCAGAGCCCACTAACAATGGGGCTGAGCTGCCCCAGGTGGCAGGTCCTGCTCGAGGACCCTTCAGGACATGGATCCCTCTCATCCCCGGCAGAGATGCAAGGGAGGCAGTTGAGCTTCCCCCACCCCCCGATCCTACAGAGGAGGGGACCAAGGTCTGCCTGACCTAGTGCTTCCTGGGGAGAGGGGCTTAAATCCCCAGAGCTCAGCCCACTTGTGAGAAGAGGGGTTTTGTCCCAGGTGAGCAGACAAACTCCCAGGACCTAAACCTCTGGTGACCACGACTTTTGCCTACCCTGGGTTGTGGCCAGGTGGGCCCAGAGCCATCTTTTCTCAGTCCTGGGAAGTGGGCGGGGGCAACAGAGAGGGGCTGTGCACAGCTGGGCAGGCTGGGCTGCCCTGGGAGAGGAGGCATCTCTGGAGCACTTGGTCTTGACCCTGGGAGCCGAAGGCCACCTCTGCAGTGGCTGCAGCTCTCTGCTAATCCATTATTGAGCACCTCGGCTGGCCAGCAGGCAATTAGCACCAGGGCCTCCATCCTGACGGCTAATTGCACTAATTGATGGGGTTGGCGCAGTCCTCCCCCGCCCTCCCCCTCATCCAGGATGGCTTCATGCCTGAGAGCCAGGCCTCCAACCTCCCTCTCTCAGGGTTCTCTGGAGCATTTCTTCCTGGGGGCCACAGTCTAGGGACCACTGGGCCAGCCCTCAGCTTTGGCCAGGATTTGACTCCAGTTGCCCCTCTCCCCCTTCGACTCTGACACCTGTCCTCCATTCACATCTCTGTGAGACGGGTGTGGGGACTTGGGTAAAAGCAAAGGCAGAGGCCAGCAGGCCTGAGTCAAGGTTCCACGAGGCTCTGGGCAGGACAGGTGACTGTGAATCTCCCAGCTTCAGTACATTTGCAGGGCAGTTGGGATGATTGAATAGGTGGCAGATGTGAAGCACAGAGCTCCAGGCATGGCCCCAAGTGAGGAGCTCGGCAGACTGTCCCAGAGACATGACAATGATGGTGATGATGATGATGGTGGTGATGATGGTGATGATGGTGATGGTGATGATGATGATGGTGGTGATGATGGTGATGATGGTGATGATGATGGTGATGATGGTGATGGTGGTGATGATGATGGTGGTGATGGTGATGATGATGGTGATGGTGATGGTGATGATGATGATGATGGTGATGTGATGATGGTGATGATGGTGATGATGGTGATGGTGACGATGATGGTGATGATAGTGATGATGATGGTGATGATGGTGGTGATGGTGATGATCATGGTGATGAGGATAAATATGATGGCGGTGATGATGCTGGTGGTGAAGGTGATGATGATGGTGATGATGGTGATGGTGATGGTGATGATGGTGGTGATGGTGATGATGATGGTGATGGTGATGGTGATGATGATGATGATGGTGATGTGATGATGGTGATGATGGTGATGATGGTGATGGTGACGATGATGGTGATGATGGTGATGATGATGGTGATGATGCTGGTGATGGTGATGATCATGGTGATGAGGATAAATATGATGGCGGTGATGATGCTGGTGGTGAAGGTGATGATGATGGTGATGATGGTGATGGCGGTGATGATGATAGTGATGCTGCTGATGATGTTGTTATAATGACAGTGGTGGTGGTGGTGATGAGAACGAGGCTGAGGACGATGATGGTGGTGGGGATGATGGTGGTAGTGATGGTGAGGATGAAGATGATGATGGCAAGGATGATAATGATAGTAAGGGTGATGATGATGATCTCTCTCCCTCCATGGTGAAGGCTACAGTGCAGAGCCTCTACTAAGCAGTGATTAAAAGCCTGGGCTCTGTATCCACATGGTCTATTCAAATTCTGCCTCTGTAATGTAGTGGCCTCATGACTTTGAACCTCTTTCTTGATCTGTCTGTGCCTCTATCTCCCCAACCATAACCAGGGAACAATGGCGGTCCTAACTTCACTGGATGGTGTGAGGCTTGATTCAGTAAATAACACTACAGCGGCACATGGCAGTTGCCATTGTTTTTTATTATCTGAGATTTAAGGATCTCCTCGATAACTGAATCAAATTTTAAAGATTTTTGCTACAAAGGATTCCATCAAGGAAGTAAAAAGACAACAAAAAGAATGGGAGAAAATATTTGCAATGCATATATATGCCAAGAGACATGTATCCAGAATATATAAAGAGCTCTTGCAATTCAAGAATAAAAAACACAGGTAGCTGGTGGTGCAGTGGTTGAGAATCTGCCTGCCAATGCAGGGGACACGGGTTCGAGCCCTGGACCGGGAAGATCCCACATGCCGCGGAGCAACTAGGCCCGTGAGCCACAACTGCTGAGCCTGCGCATCTGGAGCCTGTGCCCTGCAACAAGAGAGGCCGCGATAGTGAGAGGCCCGTGCACCGCGATGAAGAGTGGCTCCCGCTCGCCGCAACTAGAGAATGCCCTCGCGCAGAAACGAAGACCCAACATAGCCAAAAATAAAGAAAGAAAGAAAGAAAGAAAATTTAAAAACAAAACAAAACACAGGTAACCCAAATAAAAAGTAGCCAAAGGATGCAAATAGACATTTCTCCAAAGAAGATATGCAAACTCAACAGATACATACAAAGATGTTCCATATCATTAGTCATCAGGGAAATGCAAATCAAAACCAAAATGAGACACCACTACACACCCACTAGGACAACTAGAGTCAAAAAGACAGATAATAATAAGTGTCAGTGAGGATGTACAGAAATTGGAACCCTCATACGTTGCTGAAAGTAAAATGATGCAGCCATTCTGAAAAAGTCTAGCAGTTCCTCAAAAACATAAGAGCTGTCCTATGACACAGCAATCCACCTCTTACATATGTACCCAGGAGAACTGAAAACGTACATCCACACAAAATTTTATATACAAATGTTCATAGCAGCAATATTCATAATAGCCAAAAAGTGGAAAGTACCCAAATGTCCATATATCGATTGCTGGACGCACAAAATTGTATATCCAGACAACAGAATATTATTTGGCCATAAAAAGGAATGAAGTTCCGATCCTTGCTACAACATGAATGAATTTTGAAAACATTATGCTAAGTGACAGAAACCAGACACAAAAGGCTACATATTGTATGATTCCATGTGTACAAAATGTCCAGAATAAGCAAATTTATAGAGGTAGAAATAGATTTGTGGCTTCAGGAAGCTGGGGGTGAAGGGAATGGAATGCCAGGTTTCTTTTAGGGGTAATAAAAGTGTTCTGAAATTAGAGAGTGACAATGGTTACCTAATTCTAAATACACTAAAAGTCACTGAATTGTGTGCTTTAAAATGGGGGAATTTTATGATATCTGCATTATAACTAAATAAAGCTGTTATTTAAAAAGAATCCCCTAATAAATCTTGACAGATCGAGTGGTAAGAATTTTTCCCAAGTGGGAAATGTGGGGTCAGTGTGATTCTGTGCTGCTAAAGGGGCTCCTTAGCCTTGACCCCTAGGGCTGGTTGGCTCTGTAGCACTCTCTGCACTGCCTGATGGTCCTGGGCTGGACATCCACTGCAGCGTTTCCTTCCAGGGCTCTGATGCCAGGGACAGACGGGCACAGCAGGTGGGAGGGAATTGGAAAGAAATGTCCTTCTGTGGTGGAGACCCCAGCCCCACAGACCCCAGCCCCAATTCCCTCCTCCGGGAATCTTAAGGAACATCCCCTAGGCAACAGCAAGTCCTGCTTAGCAGGGAAAAAGCATTTGGAAAGTTCCGTCTATCAGGTTTTTCTTCTCCCTAGGCTCCACCTCACCTCTTCCAGCTATCTGCTGGAGGTGCTACAGGTCCCAAACTGGACAGTCTTCCTCTCCCCCTCCCCTCCTCAAACCCCTGCCTCTCCCTGTGTTCTCTGCTCCCCACAGATGAATGGTTGAGCCTCCCTGTACGGTTGTGCAGGTTGTGCACTGCTCAAAAGTTCCTGGCCGAGAGGGTGGGTCAAGGCTGAAATCGAGCTCGCTCTCTGCTCACCAACCTGAGCAGCCCAGAACCGCTTCTGCCCAGATAGCAAGCCTTTTCATAATTCTCACGAGAGCGCTGTATCCACTAGCTGCCGCCCTGGAGGGAGGGAGAGGGAAGGAGGGAGGGGGATGTGAACCTTTTTAATGGCTCAGAATCAGTGCTCACAAACATTTTGAAATGTGCCCACTGGAGCAATTGGAAACGGATGGATTGTATTCATCATAACGTCATAACAGGCTGTTACACAGCAATAACAAACAGAATCTCAAGTGGATTAGCAGAGCTAAGGTTTATTTCTTGCTCAGGCTGCCTATCCCATGTGGGGACGCTGCTTCCCATGGTCGCCCGGGGACCCAGGTTGATGGAGGCTCCACCATATTGTAGCTGCACCGTCCGGCACCTGCAGCTTCCTCAGCCTCCAAAGCAAGGGAAGAGAGATCAGAGCATCGTCCGGTTTTCCACTGCTCCCTTCTGTTCGCTTCGTACTGGTCAGGACCAGTCACCTGCTGCCCCACTGCATGGCTGAGAGGTGCAATCTTCTATGTGCCTGCGGCAGAGAAAAACCAGATATGGGGGGCGGAGGGCACTTGTCCTGTCTACACAGGGTGTCAGCTGATCCTGGGTGCTCCGCTGACCTGCCACAGCGGCTCAAAACTGAACCCTGGCTCACAGAAGTGGTTCTCAAACAGCAGGGCACCCAGAAATCCCCTGGGAACTTATCAACATGCAGGTTCCCAGGCCAGGGAGTCCAGGTTTAACAAACTTCCGGGGATTCCAATGCAGGGGCCCCTGGGCAGCACTGACCTGCACAGGGTGAAGTGTGCACTGCGACACCACGCATCCCAGGCAGGCCTCTCACACTCCCCTGCTGACACCCCACACGCCACACTGGGCATCAGGCCATGCACAGAGCTCCCTCTGGACCCCTGACGTCCCCTTTCGTGTGTCGGCAATCCCTTTCCCACCGCTTACCCTGTTCTTTGTAGGTTTACCCCTCAGGCTCAGTTCAGACGTCACCTCCTAAAGGCAGTCTTCCCTGAGCCTTTGATTGGGGAATCTGACCCTTCCTCTGAGCTTCAGCATATCATTGTCCTAGCTCTTCTCTTTAGCCCATGTTTTAATAACTGGGCTCTGCCAGGTGCCTGCCGCAGGCAGGGCATAGCTAGGGGGCTACCGCACGCCAAAGTGACGTGGAGACACAGGGATAAATATGCCTCCATTCCTGCCTCAAAGTACCAGGCCCAGGGTTCTCAGCGTGCTGGCAAAATGGGAATCCCCTGCCTCACCTAGTCACAACCCTCACGGCCACATCACAGGCTCTGAGAGGTGCTGCAATGAAAACAAAAGCCGTTGAGTTTCATTTGACCAGACGTCTCCATCTGACCACAGCATCCGTGACTTGAGAACCTCCTGTTCACACCACGAGGAATAAGATGCCCCGGGAACGTAGTTTGGGAAACGCTGTCCCAGGTGAAGCCACAGGTAGCAGCTCCTTCTCTAAAAGAACGCCGCCAGCGGACCGGAAGCGCCAAGCCACACTCCCGGGAGGTGCTGTTCTGAGAGCCAAGGCGGGATTGCTGGCCAGCGACCAGGGCTCCTGGGTTACAGACATGGCAACTGAGGCTCCCAAGGCACTGGCAGCACCTGGATTCGAACTGGGGACTGTGGGGCTCACGCTGTCTCTACCCGCTCCTTACCACGTCGCGCCTGTCCACAGTCGGTGCTCCGTAGATGTTTTCTGGATACAAGAATAAAGAAAACAGGATTCAGAAACAGGAGACAAGCGCATGGGGGTGGGAAGGACCTTTAGGGGAGGGTAGGACGGCTGTGGAAGGGACTTGAGCTGAGAGGGAGGGAGTCTGAGCTGGGAATGAGGGTCCCCGAAGCCACAAGGATCTATTGTGCAGCCCAGGGAAAG